TATATAAAAGAGTTATTTCTGTTTCCTTTTAATTATGGCTTATTTATTACTAAAATTAATATGTATTATAACATTCTATAGAAACAAAATATCGCATTATTGTAAGGATTGTAACGTATGGAAATGTCAAAATTAAATAATGTAATCAACGAAAAGCATAAAATTTTTATAAAAGAGGATTTTATTTTAACATATTAAGCACTTTTATCTTCTCAAACCTTTTTATTACTTTATTTACCTTGTAGAATCGTCATATGTCTTTAAGCGAAAGAGCGTAATCTTTAGTCTGGTAGGATCCTTAAAATAAATGGAACAATAATTGGGACTTTTTCATTCTCGATTTACGTATTATTTTCGTACGCAAAGCAGACATAATAATTCAAGTACAGTGTTGAATATCTTACGCATTAAATATTTCGAAAGCAGAAAATACTTTCAGTACATTTTGTCTTTAAATCTGTTGTTTTGTGACTTATTCACTTGCCTGACAGTGGCATCAGAACAATCCCACGAATTTCATCGTGGCAAGGAGAGCAAGATTGTGTCGTTGGTCCGAAGATCCCCCACCCATCTTCACCTACCACAACCTCTCGAGAGGACTTTCGGCTCGCCGCATATTTACAGTACTCCCATGCCGCACAGACACTATACGTATTACATTCACAAACATCCGTGCCTTCTCCGGGATTCAAACCCGGGCCCTTCGGTATCACAACAGACTTCCCTAACCACTATAACATGCGGACGTTTTTCTCCAAATCTTAAAATTTTGTTCTCAAATTTTGCTCCAAATTTTCAAAAGGCAAAAATTAGATTAGATATTCTTTTCATCTTGAAATGTCCACGTTTTTCTATATCTCAAAATTGTAGATTTAATGAATTAGTAGACATCGCCTTATTAAAATTACTGTATAAGGTATTTCTCTCGCCTTCTTACCATGCTTTCGTGTCGTAATTGCCAGCACACTCGGCGCGTATTCGAGAGGTCCGTGGTTCGAGTCCCGGCGAAGGCACTGCTCATTTTTCATCTCTTCTGTTTTAAAAATTACCTAATGTTACAGTGGCGCTTCAACTAAAAAGGGTGGTGGATGATGATTCTTCACCACCAGGATTTGGCGATTGGGGTCCCTTATCCCTAGTCACTCTATAAAAGGAGAAGTATATAAGGTATTTCTCTCGCCTTCTTAGCATGCCTTTGTGATGTAGTGGTCAGCACGTCCAGCCCGCACTCGAAAGTTCCGTGGCTCGAGTCCCAGCGAGGACATTGCTTATTTTTCCGAAATTCGAAATAGCTCTACAAGTGTAAAGTATAATCGCCTACTACATGCACCTTAGTAAACTTATAAGGTATTTTCTCCTCCTTTCCAGCATGCCTTCGTGGTGTAACAGTAGCACACTAAGCGCGTATTCGAAGGGCCCTTATAGTCCCGGCGAGGACTTTGAGGATTTCTTCGATTTCCTTGTTTCGAAAAATTATAAAATGATTCTACAGAGGCTCCCGAACTAAATGGTGGTGGTTGATGATTCTTCACACACCAGAATTTGGCGATTTAATTCCCCAATCCACAGTCATCCTTTAAAAGAAGTATTAAGGTATTTTCTCTCTCCTTTCAGCATGTCTTCGTCGTGTAACAGTAGCATACTCAGCGCGTATTCGAGAGGTCCTGGTTTCACTTTCCCTGCTTCAAAATAACCTAATGACTCTACAAACTAATCTACAATAGGAAAGATGATTTGTCATTAGTATTATGTTTAATAGTTCTTTTAAATAACATCTTGTAGTTTTCCTTTTCTGATAATTTATCAGTTATTTTTGTTATTGAATTACGTAAGTGCACCCTTTCGCTATGTGGTTTGGATAGAAATGTCGATATATGCATCTTACTTCAAACAGTATTTAGTGGAAATTTCAGGTCAACAGAATTCATTTTATTTAAGTAGATATCCATAATCTTAACTTTTTCTTTCTCTGTTATTTCGCATTGATGATATAATATAGAATAATATCGAATGTTATTATTTTCAATCACGGCTATTTAAAAGTTCCTTTAAAGAAATTTCTTTTAAGAAATTTCTATTTAGAGCATTGCTATATAATGCATTCTATAAATCTAAAACTTATATATCTGCAGTTGTGTTCGAAGTAATATCAATAAAAATATCTGTAATATCAATAAGCGAATCTTTTATGAGTATGAATAGATACCTTAAAATGCATAAAACTGCATGTACTCAAAAATGCACTGCCTTCAGTATAAAACAACAGTACTAACCAGTGTAAATTAACATTAAATAAAAATTCTACTTACCTAAAATAGAAGAAAATGAACGCTTAAAACTGATGATGCAGTAATTTAAAGAATTTTTCTTTAAATTTATGATTTCGTAATATACAAGAGAAATGCATTAAGCCTTTCGAATTTTGAAATAAGATTATTAAAAGATTTTTTTAATATTTTGCTAAATGCACAAAATATGGGCAATTGAAATATTTCGCATTTTTAATTACGAATGATGAAACATGGCTATGTATTAATTTTTCGTCTTTGTGAGTGTGAGACATTTTGTTCAGAAAAGATTTATTTGTCAGCAATATACGTTTTCGGTTTATTCTGTCATTCCGTCTGTTAAATGAATAAGAGATTTTTAATGTTTGTAATTATTAGTAACTATTTTATATCAAACATATGCCATACGTTATGTATGGAAGACATTAAAAACTTTCCATTCTGCTTTTCAGTTCTGTTAAGTTCTATTGCTTGCTTGCATTAGTAAATTGTAAAGTTCGTCAAAATGTTTAGTTAGCTTTTAGAAGCATACCACCTAATACGTATTGAAAGAGATTGAAAGCTGTTTTTCCTTTCCCTTTACATCTCGTTTCCGTTTAGCAGAATTACATATCTAGTAAGTTTTTTGTGTAATTATAATGAGGAAGATTATAAATGTTTTCATTGAATTTTTAAATGCATCATAATTGTAGAAACTGATGTACGTACAAGTTTAATTTATTTTTCTTATCTTGATAATCAGCGATACAGTATCCTGATAATTAGTAACACCTGTATTTCAAGTTAAATTTATTAATTACAATGAAGTTATTTATCTAAAATTAAACACTTAATACACTCTTTTAAAAATGAAATGTAGACCCGTATGAAGTTATATTCTTCTAAATTAAAGGATATAATGGAAATTCTTTACTTACTGCTTTAAAAAGGTAAAGAATGTTCATCTCAAAGTTCCGAAATAAAGCCTTATAGTTAGGTATTTGACCACAAGGACAATATTTCTAAACAAATGTGAGAGCTTTACCTTAAAAACAACTACATTACAAAAAAGTATTTTGTTAACCTGAAAGATTTAACTTCTGCCATTTTAACAATATAACAGACAGCAAATCTGCATTAAAAAGGATTTGTTATCTCACTAGGAATCCCCCCCCAAAAAAATGCAAAACTGAATTAAAATCTGAATGATTTACAGCACAGTTTAACACCTTGAAGAAATTAACATTTGAATTTCAAAAATCCGAAAAATCAATATAATAAAAACATAAAAATCATAATATTAAATAGAAGCGTCAATCTATTCTTTTTAAGCAGATTTCATACGTTAAGACTTCCAGCAGACTTATTACTATTTTAAGAATGATCTTCATGGAGTTAAATTACAGATCACAAAAGTCATGTGGTTGTTGTCATCATTTAACATGTGTTAATTATATTAAAAATGATAAAGACAAGAAAAAATATTTGATTTAAAATTATAAATTTCATTAATAAATGTAATGTAATGTCTATGTTTAATATTGCGCATTTATTTAATAAAGAAAAGACTTGATTATTATAAATTTTAAATGGCTTTCATTTCAGTGGAATGCTTGAATCTGGCTTGCAAGGAGTTTTAACTTCGAAGTAGCGACGCTTTCTATTTTGCCATGACTCGAATCCCTCGTACTGAAAACGATAAATTCCATAAAAGAATACTTCTTTTTAGTTCTATTGCGTTTATATGCAAATATTATTTTAGTGTACATGCAACTGTTTTAAACATGAACATCACGAGACGTCACGAGCAACTCTGTTTATTGAGAGGCCGGAACAACTACTTTGCACAAGGTTTTACGTAAAATATGGACGTGCGGACTATTTTTTTTTTTTTTTTTTTTTTTTTTTTTTTTTTTTGAAAACGGATTGTAAAGGGGATTAATATGGATTCAGAAGAGATTTTTTTCGTGACGTCTGTACTTGTGTACGTATGCATCTCGCATAACTCAACGAGTAGCCGTAGGACATAAAATTTTGTATATAGGACTGCTATAACATGAAGTTGTGGACCTCCATTTTTCGTTGCAATTGCCATACCGAACACACACATATATATATTATAGCCGCGTATCAGAGAGGCAATATAAATATATATATTATAGCCGCGTAACAGAGTGGAAAGTATAGATATATTTATGTTTATATTGCCACTTTGTTACCCGGCTTGGTGAACTCAGTTTTTATTTTTGACAAATTGTACATGTTTTGCTTTAAAAGGGATTGGATTATGCTATTATTATCTTCAGGTCAAGTTTTTTTTTTTTTTTTTTTTTTTTTTTTTTTTTTTTGTCTTTACTTAATTCGCATGCAATAGTTGTAGTTTTGTCGACAATTTTAAAATTTTAGGTGGCACTAAGCCTAATGAGGCTGCCATTTGTTTACATTTGAAACATAGACTGTGCAAAGAATTCATGTGGTGTCCTCGTCAGATATTTTTTACGAACAAAATTAAGGAAATTGATTTTTTCGTAAGGATAGATACAACTGATATTTAGATATATATTTTACGAGTTATATTTTACATAATCGTAATCTGTTTAATATATACTTGAATATTTTTATTTCTCACAGCGTAATTCTAGAATATATGTTTGCTTTTTGGCACTTGGTGTGTAGTTAGAGTAAAATTCGTGTTAAACTGGGTGACGTATTTTAAACTATGTTTTCTTCTAGTTTCGGGGGACCTCGAGTTACAGTGCAGCGACACATGATTATCAACAGTTATTTACAGATTCTGGAATACATCATTTCGTTGGTAAGCATATATTTATCAGGATACCCTAATGAAGGAATTACTAATTTCCAATTACGCTGTCAGAATATTTATTCATAAATTTGTTATTAATCTAATGGAGCGGTTGAAATCGCAATGGATAAAATGTTGTTCCCATTTTTATTTTGTCTGAGATACAAATAAAGTAAATGGATATTCAGAGATTTCAAAATTATATAAAGTACTTAACGTTGCATTTAAAGTCTGATGGTCTAGCTGTTATAAAGTTAAAAATAATTCGTCTCTTTTAGCCAAATTTTATGTGAGACCTCTAATAAGGGAATCATTCTAGATGTTATTAAGAATGACAGACTACTTTTAATTAATTAACTAATAAATTATTTTTGAAGTTTTAAATACTTCCTGTATATGTAAATGTAGTAACACGCATTTCATGTCAAGTATTGTTACTTTAATCGAAAACGTGAATGAATTTATCGAAATTGATGAATCAGTTTAAACAAAAGTACGCAATAAGTTTAGTAATTTTTTTCAAATTGCTCGTTAAATTTAAATTGAAAAATTATGCATTTATATCTAGAAGCTTTAGACAAAAAATATTAGTGCTTAAGTTTCTTGAAAATGTTCATAAAACAGTCCAGAAAAATGTTAAGATTTGTATTTTATGAATAATTAAATTTTTATCCATTATCCAAATTATTATTATTTTTAACCAAATTTTTATCCATTAAAATACTTTTGTTACTTGAAATTTGAATAGATGATAGAACCTTATAAACTATTTCGAATGATTATTCATTTTAGATAAAAGAAGATCATGTAAAGCATTTACTTGGTTCTGCTTTTATATTACTTATCACTTTTGTTGTTTGTTTGTTTAAATATTGTAAGAAATTTAATAAGTTTTGAGGAATCGTGCATCTTATTAGTCATCAATAATATGCATCTAAGCGAATTATATTTTTAATATGTATTTTTTTTAATAAATGCGATAAATGTTTCATATTTCAAATTTCATCAGGAATTAAACTCTTCAAATTATAAATACTATCTTAAAAGAGGATAAGCATACTGACATAACGCCATCTTACTTTTAATGAAGAAAGCCATAGGGGACATATCAAGAGTCATAATAATAATGTAAAGACTTTTCTAAGTTTATTTGATAAAGATTGAGCTTCTTTTCTTACCAGTGTGGTTTTAGTATTTCTAAAGTTCTTGTAATGTAAACACTTGGATGCTGTTGGTGACCGAAGAGAATATGAAAACGGAGATTATATTTTAAAATCAGAGACACTCGAAACTTATATATTGCTAGAATCAATGCTAAATTTTCTTAAGAATTTGTCTGATACTCCATTTACGTTACCTAGAAATACTGCTGAAAGAATGATCAAATGCATATTTATAATTTCACGAATCGGAAAATTTCCATTTTCTCTATATTTTCTATTCGTACGTCAGCTGTATTTATCAAGCGCTTTTCCTATTCAATACTTTGCAAGTCGCTCGAAAACAATACTTTGAAAGGTGACTTTTGTCTAAATGATTAAAATTCAAGTTTTTCGGTGTAGAAGAATGATGATATTAAAAGAATATTTTAAACTTACAAATATGTCACTTCAGTTCTTCACCTCATCCAAAGCTGTAAAGAAATTTCTTCACCAAAGGGTCCATATATCAAACTGTTTTAAACCACTAATAAAAAAAATGCAGTCACAATAAATAATTTTTAACTTCTAAACACGTAACCTAACCGCAACCCATGTGCAAGAAGGATAATTTGAGTCTTGCTATTTCGACATAATTCTTGTTTTGCAACAATTTATATGTCAAATTATTTTTATTTTTGTAAACGATCGGACAATGATATACTGCTATAAATTGTGTAACGTGTATGCGAGCCAGTTTCCCTTAGAAAGTTCTCCACGAAGGCATCCATCCCTTTAGGCATATAGCCATCGAGTGGTTTACCATACTTGAATAAACCAAACCAAACCATAATAATTAAAAACATAAAATTATTTTATCAAATTTAGCTGCATTGTTATCTGAAATTTTTTATAGTATTAATACTAACGGCTCCGCGCTCAGTGCACCTATCCGGCAAAAGCCAGTCACATGACTGACCCCTGAAAACAAAAACATCTCCCCCCCCCCAAAAAAAGACCAAATCAGAAAAATTAAACTAGCTCCAGGGAAACCACATTTTTTTCGTTTGCATTTTTTATAGCAAAATTTTAAACTTATACCAAACGTTGCGATTATCATTTTGGTTAATCCTTTTACATTTAAACATTTGGAAAAGTAATCTTAAGGTGACCACCAAAAATATGTAAAAATAGAAAGTGAAGCTAGATTTTGCGCTGCGGTCAATATACAAAATTTCTATTTTCAATTAATCTTTTGGAACTGTTGTAGAACTAGGAGTTAGAGAATAATATCTTACTTAATCCTAAATATAGTTAATTCATTCTGAAAGCATTTGTGGGCATTTTCTATCTAATAATAAGCAATTATTAATAATTTAGAATTTTTAATATGAGTGTTTTTAAGTTATAAGTCTTCACGTTTCGCGTATCTAAAAAAATCGGTCCTACATTCCTCTTAAAAAAAAAAAAAAAAAAAAAAAGTAATTTTGTCAGAAACAGATTTTATGGGAGACGCATTAAATCAATGTAATTTCAAACATTGTTTGCTGTATGTCTTTAGGGAAATACGCCTTTTTCATGTTTTCGCATTTCAATGCCACAAACACTCTTAAGGCTTTAAGGTGGCGTTGATATAAATTGCTGTAATAACTTGTAAAATATACGTCTAATGCTATTTTAATACTAAAAATTTTAGGAAGTTTTACTGCTAATTCCCATTACGTGATTAGAGAATTTTTAATATTTTAATAATTTATCCTAAAATATTGTGCATTTTCTGATTATAGTTCTTCAAGACTAAAAATCTTCTCAGACTTTAATTGGAAACAAAGCATTAAAATAATTATTCTCTTGATGTATTTATATTTATAGATAATACAAATCTAATAATGTTATATCTTTGCTCAAGTATATAAAATATAAATGGGTAGAATTTATTTCAGGTATATTGCGTTAATTCTGCTCAGTTATAACTACTTTCTTAAATAATTATTAAAATGCATAAGCACTGTACCCCACCATTTTTTAAACCTCTAAAATTCCATTACCCTTTAACTTTTGTATTATTTTCAAGAAAAAATAAATAAGATTGATCAATAATACGCAGTCATAAAATGTTGCATTCGAACTTTTGATCATATAATCCGCACTTGCTAGTTTGATGTCATAAATACAAATCAGTTCAGTATCATGTTTCTTCAGATAAAACCTCTTTTCAAGTGTCAGGTGAAACAATTATTCATTATAAAATACAACAGCTAGCAGTGCATATATATATATATATATATATATATATATATATATATCAGATTCCGTACGACTTCTTAAGTTATATTTCTGTAATAACGAAAATTGGTTTCAAGGGTTGACGATAAATCAAAAGAAATCAAAGGTGCGCTACTATAAAACCAAAGCTAAGTATCGATTTGACAAAAAAAATATGAGTTTTGGAGAAGAAATTCGAGAAAAGATATCAAAAAATAATTTTCCTCTGTCAGAATCGATATGGAAGATAGACTGTCAAATCAATAAGGATATGGAAGCTATGACTGGTTTCTTGCAATATAAGCAATAGCGTACGAAATAAAATAAAAAAACATTGAAAAAAAGATCTGAAAGCTTTCAGATTCTATAGTATGCACAAAGGGGGGATTTGTTAACGTTTTGTGTGTTACCTTTATTTAATAATATCGTGTTCTTCGCACTTAAATCATAAAATTCAATTCAACAGGGATATAATATTTAAAAGAGCATATCTTAAGAATTTCCTACAGAGTCTCGCGCGGAGATAAAAATGTTTTGTTGTTCTTAGTGTTGCCATCGCTCACTTTAAAATCGTTTAATTTTTTAATAAAATATTTGTTGAAGTGTTACAAAATATGAAACCGATAATAAAACAATTTTCAAATTCAAATTAGGGCTTCCACATGCGCATATTGTATGGAAAATAACGCTATTCAAATTTGGATGGCTCTAGGTACCGTTGTTTTATCACAATGCGAGAAACATACATACATTTATGCAGATTCTTCATTATTTTATTTCTTTCAATATAAATTTAGGGCTCTAATATTTGGAGGCAACAATTTAAAAAGTGATTCGCCGTTTATATTGAATCAACTTAAAATGCGAAACCGAAATTAATAGCCCTTTACAGAACATTCTGGGAGCATTTTGAAAAGCACCTCTGCTGTACACTGAAATGTACGTACAAAGAACATGCTTGTAACAGGCATCACTTTAGCATGTCGTGTAGAACATACTTTGTAACATATGCTCGAAGCATTTCGAAAAGTACTAATGTTGTGCATCGAAAGGTACGTGCTTGAAAACAAGGTTCTAACAAGTTTTTTTACATTTCAAAACGCGCATACTGTTTTGTATAGCTTTAAGAATACAACTCATACTTCCTCAATTTCTTAACTAATAAATACTAGATATTATTTGTGATTCTAATTATTTTGCTGCTCATAGAGTTCTTAGCAACATTTACTGAATTTTTATTCTTCTTAGAATTTACTGCACTATAACAGTCTGCTTACTATTTGCACAATATCTACATTTAGACAAAAGTTATGAATACTATGCAGCAACAGGTTCTGTCAGATATACCATTCTGGATGCAAAGGATAAAACAAAACAAAAACAAATAAAAAAAACTTTCATTTTGAAAATTTCAAATTACGATCGGAAATTTCAAGGTAGAATTTCTTGTTAAAAGTATTTTAAAAACCTAAAAATGTTAAAAACTATTTAAAAAAAAACATACCAATATTTTCTTTTTCTTTCAAATGAAAATAATATCCACGCTTGCTGAATCATAAAAACGTGCAGTTTCCCTATTGAATAAATTACAATTCATAGCCTGTG